GCTTCGGGAAGGCGAGGCCATGTGGTGAGGAGGGGAACGGAGATGTGGTGTGAGGCCCCCAACAAAGCTGGGGCCGCCTCTGCCACCAAGCCCGACCTGGAGGGCCGCGTTCTGTGCCAGCCTTTATCTGAGTCTGTCCCTGGAGAGTGAGCCTCCATTTGTGGACTCGAGCAGAGTCTGTCTCTGGGCAGCAGTTAGGGGGTCTTTGCTCCCAGTAGCTGACTTTCCTGATTTTCTTCATTATCTGTTCTTCCAGGGTGGGGGCCACGCCTCTCTCACTGTGCCCAGCCTAGCACAGAGCGTGCTTAGTGTGCACTGGGGGTGCAACGCACCCTGGAAGGTCACTGCTTCATCTAAGGCCTTTATTGAAGCTATACACACCACCCCCACCAGGAATTTTCAGTACTCGTTTGGATTTTCACAGCTCCAAAGACTATTTCCCAGTGCCCACCATGCCTGAGATCTGGACCCCACCCCAAATGAAGATTAGCAAGTGCCCTTTGCCGGTTGAATAATACTCTAAGACACAAGGAAAGACATACTGTAAAATATATTTTAAATAATTCAAACAGTAAGAATCCTTAAGCACTGAGTATACGGGTTTGTGTCCAGAAAACAGTAGGCAGGAGCTAAATCCAAGCCAAAAACAGTAGGCAGAAGCTAAGTCCAAGCCGTCTATCAATGCAGTCAGCACAGTGGTCCTTGGCTGAGACAGTGGTTGATGAGTTATTACTCAGATGTCATCTCTCAGACATTGTCTTGGACCAGAATATAGTGTTTACTTTAGTTCCTTTCTCCATTAGAAAAATGTTATCTTTGAACTCCCAATTCTTGAACTCCATGGGCACGGCTGAGTGTCATTAGCTGAAGATGAACCGCCCCTGCTGGGCCTCTGAATTATTTGTAATCTCAAAAGTATCACCTGACCTGACTCTCGTGTGACCACATCACTGAACTGGGACGTATAATCTCACTAAGATCCCCACGAGCAAGATGAAAGCGACCCCTAGAAACAGGAGCCGTCGCCGCAGCACCAACTGCCTCCTGGACAACCGAGCGCTGCCCTCCAGGTGGACCTGCGAAGCCTCGTCCTGGCGCATCTGCTGCTCCAGCTGAGGCTTGTCCTTTTCTCCAGCATCTCTCATTAAAATGCCTCCACGGTTTTCGGGGCCCACTGGAGGGAGAAAGGAGCTGAGTTAGCAGCTTAGAAGGAATTTTTCTCCATCTGCATAAAAGGGGATGCGTACCAGTGCTAACAGCTGGGAGAAAGTGCATCCAGGAAGCAGTGGCTACAGTGCAGGAATAAGAGCATCCCTATCTCAGAGTCCCCAAGAGCTCCCCCACAAACACTGCCTGTCCTCCTGCTGTCACCTGGCTGCTCCAGGGAGCTCTGCCCCAGAGCTGGAGAGAGAAGGCAGCTCTCTAAGTTAACATTCACAGGGGACTTTTTCAAGGGGCCAACGCCCACCCCATGTAATAAGCATCTCAAAGAGAA